CCTTTCCCCTTCTGGTATCGCTACTCTCATTATTGATCCTGAGGGGTTTATCTGTCCTAGATTCCCTGTGTTTCCAGTTCTTATCTGTACCAGTATACATCCTCTTGTCTAGCCTGATTTGTAAGGTAGAATTAAGAACTAGAGGAAAGTTGTATGTTTCATCGGTGCTACACTGCACCCTGACTGGCTCATCTCTTCCTTGTGACCCTTTGATGTGAATGAACTATTCAATTATATGATATGTGAAATATATACCAACATAACTGTTAAAAATGAAATCTAAATATTAATATATCTTAAAGAATATTACAACAATCCTTTTAAGTTTTATCTAAATTTAGTCTGACAAGTGACCAGTATGAGAGGAAAAAACAGTTCATCGGCAAATATACCACAAAGATTTTTTTTCTGAGACAATATGTGCATCCTAGTAATGGAACAGATAGTCTCAGGAATAGTCTGGGGATAATTAATATAGCACACAGAGTAAAAATAAAACATGAATAAGTAGCAGGGTTCCAAGTGTACATACACCTCCTCTTATCATAGTTCTTCACACAATTGTTTTCACAGTAGTAACCTCTACTATTTTCCACAATGGAAAATTCCACATAAATTAGGCAAAAATTATATATTTACTTGTGATACATTATTACCGTAACATACCATATTACCCTGCCCCAAAGCACATCAACCCTAAAATAATCTCATACATGCGATATATTACATTTCAAAATAAGAACCATTAAAAGCAACAATGTTTACCTCATTGTTGGTATAATGTAGCTCCATAGGCTGTCCAAAGGCAATTTTAGCTTTAGACTTCAGATCTTCCAATTTAACTGGCCTGGAAAACTGAAGGATTCTATACGGACAGAATTTTGAAAGACTTTATTTTCTTAGACACAGTCTAGTAAAACCTCCAACAGTTATCAATTGACTATAGAGATGCAAAATTAAGTAAAATCGTATAAGCATTTACTTTACTTGAATACCACAATTCATTTTTGATTCAGTGTACAGATTCTCCACAAAGATTAATAACTCTGAAGTTTATTCTATCTTGGAAAAGTGAAAAGTTGTTAAAACTTTCTGAAATTTTAAACTAGAGTGGAAACTGTCACATTAATATTAAAGAGTAGTGCAAAGTGTTCATTAAGGAAACGATTTAATTATAGCACGTCCACACAGTGGAAGGCAATAAAACTTTTACAATGCATAAAGTCATTCTTTAGAGATTCAGACTTACTGTGTACTCATATGAACTCAATCTTTATGAGGACATATGAGGAGGCTTCAAAAAGTGTATGAAAAAATGGAATTAAAAGATAATGAAATGTTTCCATCAACTTTTTAAGTCCCCTCATATATTGTATAAGCATATCCCCAAATAAATGTTTTTAAATGATTAAATTTTTAAAGTAAATTAAAGTTCTAGTATTTTCTTCCTACATCCAAATGTACGGGCCTGTACTGCCTCTAGAGAGCATACAACTATGGTTGAGAACTATCACACTCGACTGTAAACTCCACAAGGGAAGGGACCATATCGGCTTTCTCACATTGTCCCTTCAGGGCTAACATAGTCTCTGAAACATGGTAAGTACTCAAGGAATACTGTACTGCTAAATAGATGGGGGAAGTACTGGGAAAATATCCATGAAAAAACCTTAAGCAAGAAAAAAAGTAGAAGGGAGAATAGTTGTATAGTATAAATAGCATAACTAGAATATCCCAATTTTTAGTATCTCAGCAGGGAAAAAAAATTTTAACCTTCAGTTTTTATAATTTGTAAGTCTTTTAAAAAGTCCTTCAAATTGATACATTTTTCATTAACTTAACTTATTAAGAGACATAAATAGCAGAAATAAAGTCCAACGGTCTCTTTTAAAAGGACATTTTGTTGCAATTATAGCACAACCAGGATCACCATCACTTTGAAACAAAAATATTCAGGAAAATAGTAAAAACTGTGAACTCAGGTCAGTCTATGTTCATAAATTCTGTAGAGTTATCTGGAGAGATGATGTAATAATGATAAAGAGAAATTAATTTCTACTAAGAAATGAAATAAAATGGTAACATTCAATGTCTCTTTATGTAGTAAGCTTATCCTATTTATTTCCTATTCAGTAGTAGTTACAAACATCTAATATTTAGCCTATCTTAAGTCTAAGTACTGAGGTGCCAACACTTCTAGAAGCCACACCAAAAGGTTCTGATTTGGAAGTCTCACTAAGCGACTTGGACTTTACCTTAAACACACCTGTAGCAGATTAAAGAAAATGAAATATACCCTTGGGCTTACGATAGAAATGCCCTAGTGTGAAGAGCAGCAGGCTATCGATTTGGAAGTCAACGCACTTTGGTTCAGATATCTTGCTTTGAGGGTGCCTAATAAATGGCAACTCAAGACTTCCATGTATTTGTTCCTTTTATACTTTCTTTGCTCTTTTATGACATGTCTTAGTCTAGCAGATGTAGTTCTGCCTATGTGAACAAGCATTATTGAAAGTTTTGCTCTATCACCAATGCTCATTGTGTAGTGTCCAGTCACTTAAAATTTTATTCTATACGAATCAACAATCCTTATATTTCTGTTTAAAAAACTCTACACATGTATACTTTCCTTTTCTCAACAGTGTTTTACATTCTCTACTATTGGCTAAATTAATAATAATATCAATAGAATCAGAGTAATCAATAAAATTACTGTATTCCATGGGATGATTTATAATGTTCTCTAAAAAATAATAATCATGTCTCTAAAGTGAACCAGGGACATATATGAACCCTGAATGGATTTTGAGCTCAAACTTAATCAGCCTGAATCTAAGAAAAATTAGTTCTTACGACATGGGCCTGCTTGATATATATCAATGAAGATATGGGTGCTATAGTAAAGCGTGGATAAGAAACTAGATGCAGAAAAAATATCATCTGGGGTCTTAAAGGCTTGTCTTTAAACAAGTAGCCATCTACATGAGGTGTCAGCGAAGTCCACATGAAAGCAGCACACTAGGTTGGGGGAAAGATATTAGAGCTTAAATTCTGAACACTTTGTTTTTCAGAAGGCTATGGATTATTAATTCAGAGGGATGAAAGTCTCCTGTGGATCCCCTCCAACTAAGGACCAGGGATGTGAATAGCCATGCTATCAGACATTGCAGGGTGAATTACTGAAGATGTAGTTAGGTTAAAAGGTGACATCTTGTCATTTGATATCCTTTCTGAAAGGAGATATGTTTGGTATATTTGTTCCAGTATTTTTCTGCTATTTTTGAGGGGCGGAGGTGGGGCTTAAGTATCTATTACATATTAGTAAGTACTACTCTATTCTCAATTTATAAGTCAGAAATCTTCAATAAAATCTAGGGAAAAACCTTTAATGACTTAACTACAACACATGTTTAATTAAAAGCAATGAACTGACATGAAATTATTTCTTTGCTTACCTTTTTTCTCCTCTATGTTCAAATTTGACCCGAACATCATTCTGTAATGAAATGAAAAATTGATCTTATGACTAAAGTCATTAAGAAATCAGGTAGAGAGATGTCAGTTAAGTCCACATGGAAGAAGCATATCAACATCAGTAACCGAAGGATTGTAAATCATGCAATTTACAGTCTGAAGGAGGGAACAGTATCAGAGCTAAATTGTGAGATTCTGGTTTGCAGATGGTTATGGATAACAGTGAAAGCCCAAAATACATTTGTGAGATCTACACAGGGAAGAAGCCTCTGGTGATTTCCCTCTATCCATAATGTAGGGATGGGAAGAAATTTGTTACAAACAGAGGACTGGAGAGGTAACTATAGGAAATCAGAATGATAAACCTAACTTGAACAGTTAGAACCTTGTTAATTGAGCCCCCCACCCCCCGATACATGTTGGGCCTGATCTGGTTTTCAGCCTTTTCTGTGTTTTGTTTTGTTTTGATTTCATATTGGGTTTATCTCAGATGTATTTTATCATTAGGTATAACCCTCTTGAATTTTCGTTATATGTTTTTCGGTATATGAAACCCAGGACTGATGAACCTCTAGAGACAAAAAGTAGAATAAGGGTCCCAGGGGTGTACGGTGGGGGAGAGAGGGGTAAAGGGAAGCTGATATCAAGGAGTTCAAGAAGGAAAAGAATGTTTTGAAACTGTGGTTGCAATTCAACAATACTGCTTGATGTGATTGAACTATGGAATGCTATGATATCTGTATTAGCTCCCAATAAAATGGTTTTGAAAAAAGAAAGAAATCAGGTAGAATTTCAACTTTATTGTTTCTTTTTCTTAGCCACTCATTTAAAAATAGAGCAGAAAGAAGGTTGTCTCTTTATTAGTGTCAATTCCAATCAAAAGTGTTTATCAACGAGCACAGGTGAAAATTAGTTGCCAAGTCTAGGCACAATAGAAAAAAGAATCAGAATCTATTAGTGCTATCATCGTGAATATGGGGGCTTTGATAATCGTGTTACAGAGGGAAATGTAGGAGCCTGTATTTCTACTTTTTATGTCAGACATGACAATTTAATTTCATTTATAAGAAAAATCATCCTTTATTTGTAAATTAGGTTTCAAAATAAACTAGATGAAATAAAAATAACATATTTATACTAAGTCCTTTAAAAGGAGATGAAGTATTATCTTTAGGAAATATGCAAATTAAATAAAACAATTATGTTTTCAAACATACATCTTACGGGAATATAATAAGCAATAATATGTTTGGTTCAAAAGTATAAAAGCTAAATATTATAACTGAACCTACAAGATCAGGATATTAAAGAGAATTAACTCCCATAAAAATGATATTAAAGGATTATTGATAGAAATACCTGTTTTTTTGGTGTTGATTTTGATTTTCTAATTTCCTGTAAGGATAATGCTGGTCTACTGGCTTTATGAAGGACAGCCAAATCTTGCATGATTGAGTTCAAGGCTTGCTGATCATCTAAGTATTTTAAAATAAAACAAAATATTGTCATTTTAATGTATATTTCTCATAGACATAAAACACAAACTTTATCATTAAATTTACTGGAAAATGCATCTAGAAACTCTTAGATGAACACATTTCAATATTTTGGTAAATAATTGTTAAATTATTTAATAATTAAGGTTAAGTAGCATTAAAATTGTGCTAGACTCTAGCTCCAGACTACAGTTCACATGAGACATGAGGTAAGGTTTAAGTCATTCTGATTTTTCTAATGATATAATGTCCTAGGATAAGGGTCAAAGTAGACAGATCAAAACAAAGACAAATTTTTCTATGACTCAAAACATCACCAACAAGCCACTTAAAGTCTTAATTAAAACAAATGGGGGGGAAATTAACTTTCTAAAATACCATCACTTCACAGCATTAATATTCAAAGTACAAGATTCATTTTAGTTTTGGTTTCCTAATAAAGTCAGAAACAAAGAAGAGCTTCAGTTGTGGGTAATAGGGTACTGATATTTGGAAGTGTTCTCTCAAACTTTCACCATGAGGTTCAATTACATATAACAGATTATCTAACGAGCTACATCAGTAAGAATTTTAAAGGTCACAATGTAAAAAAGATCAATGTGTTACAAAAAGAACTAAATCATAAAACTAAGGAAAGCAAGCGTCATAATCCATGAGTCTTTTAGTATCTTCTAAACATATAAAAAATTATTTCTGTGGGCCTCCTAGTAATGCAAATGATAAATGCACTGGAAGAACTTTGGGTACAATTTAGTTGACTTTTACTAGTAAGTAAATTCTAATGACAATAAACAGCACATAATGTAATCACAGATACTTTATATACAAAGGTAAGTAAAAAAATATCGCTATTAGGGGTCAGTTTGTTCAGTAATACACTTGTCATGGCCTCATTAGGGTGCCTTAAAAAAAAAAGGCCCAATAGAAGCAGTGACTTCCAGAAGGCTCTCCGAAGCCAGTTCAATTCAAGGCAGAAGTCATCTCAGAAGGGACAGTGGCTATTTTTAGAGATTCCAACAGGGTAATCTTGACAGATTTTCTCAAAGGACACATGATGATCACTGGGGCTCATTAGAAAGAAATTCTAAGAAAATGGAAAACTGCACAGGTGAGAAAAAGGTCAAGAAAGTTGTTCTGAGGGAAAAATTCTATCATGGTACTACACCTGTTCATTCTCTGAAACTAGCAAGGGTTGTCCTCAAGAATCGTGTTAGTGTCCTATCCATTTTAGAACCTGATCCTGCCCTTCAGACTTATTTGTTCTCCAAACTCAGAGAATAAACGGGGCACAATTTGAGTCCCATAAGGATGCTAAAACTACCATTTATATGTAGTATAAATCAAATCTGAAATTCTTTGGGAACAGAGATTTAAAAAAAAGACCTAGGCAAAGAACATATCAACAAACACTTTTGCTATTGTTGTTTAATAAAGGGTTCTGTAATTTTATGTTGTTTTTAAGTGCCATCAAGTCAGCTCCGACTCACAGTGACACTGCACGGTCCTGTGTCATCCTCACAATTGTTCCTATGCCTGAGCCCATTTAAGCAGCCACTGTGTCATCAAGGATCTTCCTCTTTTTCGCTGCCCTTCCAATTTACCGAACATGATGTTCTTCTCCAGCAACTGGTCTCCTCTGACAACATGCTCAGAATGTGCTAGATGAAGTCTTGCCATATTTGCCTCTAAGAGCATTCTGGCCTTACTTCTTCCAAGACAGATCGGTTTGTCCTTTTAGCAGTGAATGGTATTTCAATATTCTCCTATTCAGCATCACAATTCAGATGCATTTATTCTTATTTGGTGTTCTGTATTCAACGTTCAACTTTCATATGCATATGATACAATGTAGAATACCGTGTCTTGGGTCAAGCACATCTTGGTCGGCCAAGTAATATCCTTGCTCTTCAATATTCTTAAGAGGTCTTGTGCAGCAGATTCACCCAATGCAATGCATCTTTTGATTTCCTGACTGCTGCCTCCATGAGCATGTGTAGATACACACAAGACAAAATCCTTGACAACTTCAACCTTTTCTCTATTTATCATGATGTCAGCTATTGGACCAGTTGTGAGGGTTTTGGTCTTTCATACATTGAGTTGTAATTCATACTGAATGCTACAATCCTTGACCTTCATTAGCCAGTGCTCCAAGTTTTCCTTACTTTCAGCAAGCAAGGTTGTGTATCTGCATATTACAGTTCTTAATAAGCCTTCCTACTCACTCTTCTTCATATAATCCAGCTTCTCTGATGATTTGTCAGCATAAAGATTGAACAAGTATAATCAGAGGACACAACCCAATGCACACCTTTTCTTGTTTTAAAACTTGTTCTGTTCGCACAACTACGAACAGATCCATGGACAAGTTCCCCATGAGCACAATGAAGTGTTACAGACTTCCCATTCATCTCAAGGCTATCCAGTTTACTATGACCCACACAGTCGAATGACTTTATATAGTCAAGAAAACACAAGTACGTAAACATCTTTTAGGTATTCGCTGCTTTAAGCCAAGATCCGTGTGACATCAGCAATGATATTCCTTATTCCATGTCCTCTTCTGACTCTCCTGGACTTCTGGCAGTTCTGGCCACCACTTGCCAGTCTGTCGAACTGTTATGGAACTCTGGTGTTGCTGTGATTCTGGAAGCTGTGTCACTGGAATTTCAAATACCAGCAGGGTCATCAAAGCGTGATTTTATCGTAATACTTTATTCATCCTTGTATTTTATGGCAAGTAGTAATTTACGTTTCCAGAATGATGATGGAAAAATTCTCATGGATTGCTAACCAGAAGGTTGGTGTTTCAAACTCACCTTTCGCTCCAAGGGGGAAAGAAGCAGCTGTCTGTTCCGATAAAGATTTAGAGCCAAGGCGCATGGAACAGTCCGACTTTGAAGTAAGGGTGCTGTGAGTTGGAATGGACTTGATGGGAGTGCATTTGGCTCAATTTGGTAGTGAGCAGCAGAAACAAGAGCAGTCATTGCTCAAAACATAGGTAACAACAGAAAAACAGCTATTTAACAGTATAATTCACATATCTGGTATTTTTTATCGAAGACATTCTCTCTTGCAAAGAATAAAGATGAGGTTGCCAGCTCCTACAGAGATTTACAGTCTTGGAAACCCCCTAGAACAGATCTACACATTGTTTTGTTTTGTTCTGTTCTTTTGTAGTGATTTCTCAAATACACTGAATAAGCATATGCCCAAAATGGTTTTAATGAAATTATCTCTTAAATATTTTGGTTTTATGCTCAACTACTGTATATACTCATGTATAAGCCAAGTTTTTCAGCATATTTTTAATGCAGATTTTGTGGTAAAATTAGGTGCCTCAGCTAATATTCACGTCCGGCTTATACTCGAGTACGTAAGGTAAGTCCTTTCAATATACAAGGGGGTACGCACCTCCCCCCCTCAAATGGAAAAAGCTCCATTGGGTAGAGCTTTCCTAGTACACATTTTTTCCCACCAAGCAAGCATCAAGCAACTCCCTCTGAGTTAGTGCACCCAGTGGGGTCACCTGGAAAGGTTCTCTTTGGTGATAGTGAATTTTTTTGTAAAAGCAGTTTCACTTGAACCTCATTTTTTGTGATAGTCAATTTAAGAGAAAAGTGTGTAGCTAGGAAATTTTGTTTCCTGCCCTGGAAAAATTCCACAGAAACTGTTGTGATGTTGAACACAGCTATCAAAGACAAGTGTACAAGTAGTTTTCTTGTTTCAAAAAAGATGAAATGTTGATTGATGACAAACCTCATTCTGGATGTCCGTCACCTTTCCAAATGGGTAAAAATGTCAACAAAATCCGTGCACTTGTGCTCAAAGACCGATGACAGACCACTGAAGAGATGTGGAAGTTATCTGGACTATCTTGAAGCTTGGTTCAGAATATTTTAATGTAAGATTTGGGAATGAGAAGGGTCACTGTGACATTTGTGTCTCGGGTTCTGATGACCACAAAGAAGAGCATCAAGTGGAAACATGTCCTGTTTTGAAAGAACAGCTCTGAAGCGACCTAGACTTTTTCCCAGGTCATTACTGGTGACGAGACAGGGTAGTTTTTACAACCTAAAAGGCAAGCATCAATAAAGGCAGTGGAACACACCATTATCACCTTGCCTTCCACACCCCAAAAGCCCATCAAGTGAAATCAATGATCAAGAAGATGCTCATTTGTGTTTTTTTGATGTGAGGGCGATAGTGCATTTGGAGTTCATTCCACCAGGTCAGACTGTTAATCAAGTTTTCTATTTAGAGGTTCCAAAAATATAGTGGAACAGTGTGTAACAAAAGAGGCCTGATTTGTGGCAGATGGGAAACTGGTTCTGTCACCATGACAAAACATCTGCTCACACAGCCAACTCAGTGTGACAGTTTTTGGCAAAAAACAGCAAGCCTCTTTTGCCTTCATGCCTCAAGCCTTATTCACCTGGCCTCACTCAGTGCAACTACTTTTTGTGTCCACAAATGAAAAGGGGCATTAAAGGACAGTGATCTGACAGTGTTGAAGAGGTGAAGAAAAAAGGGAGGTACTGTCAGCCATCCAAACAG